CAGTTTTGTGCATGTGCTCTTTTTATTTATTTTACACTGGGATTCTTACATTTTGAACTATTAAAAGCCTTCCCCCCCTTGCTTATTTTTCAGTATTTGCTTTCACGGTGAAAGAAATATTTTCCTATATTTGTATTTATGAAGGAAGGCAGATTAGCATTCTTTATAGAAAAAAAACCCAATTCTATGTACATTTAACAAAATTGAACCTCAGGAAGGAAAACAGATGCCGAAGCAATCATCAATCTTCTAGAAATCCCCATTCCCTTCCATCCCTTAAGATGACCTTATGGAACACATTATTAAATATTTAATTGCAAATAGTTACATCTCACATTGGTAGAAAACATAGGAATGCTACTAATAGGATTTTTATTTTAAAAAAGCAAAGGAACATTTGTAATAACGTATGCTACAGGATAAGGCCTGTTAATTTGTTTTGCCTAAGATGCACTTGGTTTTATTACTTTGTGCCTCTCCTTGCCATTTTATTACCACATGTGGCCATAAGACAGGTCTCTGAGGACTTATGAAATGGGTCAGAGGATGTTCATGTATCATGCAGGTTGTGGGCTATGCCTGTTCTACAATAGCTTAGTAAGCACTGCATCCGGGAGTGTGTGTTTCACCAATAATTTTTTTAGCGATTAAAATAAATTATTGTACCCGATTATTATATTTTCAGCACTGTTGAACTCTCTGCCCACACAGCGCCCATCCAAACTGTTGACCTACTTAAATACTAATTGTTACCTTTAAGGTATGTGTTGTTTTTCTTCACTGATGCATGTTACCTGTTGAAATTTAATCAACTTGATGTGGCGCTCATGTTACATAAGCTAATTATACAAGCATAGAAATGCTTAAAAGACAAAGTAAACATTCAGTAACCATTTCTACTTATATTATCCAGTTGTAACTTATTTTGATATAACTAAGGGCACATCCTTGGAGCCACTGCAATGGGCTTCATCAGGGGTGAAATCCAGCAGGTTCTGACAGGTTCTGGAGAACCGGTAGCGGAAATTTTGAGCAGTTTGGAGAACCAGCAAATACCACCTCTGGCTGGCCCCAGAGTGGCATGGGAATGGAGATTTTGAAGTATCCTTCGCCTGCCTTGCCCACCAAGCCATGCCCACCAAGCCACACCACGCCTACCAAGCCACACCTATAGAACCGGTAGTAAAAAAAATTGGATTTCATCACTGGGCTTCATCCTACCACTGATAAAGTGGTATCCAAATTAATGTACTTCTCTTGCAAAGGTGGCCACCTCTCTTTCCAGCCAGCTAGTGAGTCCACATAAAAATGAAAGCCAATTGGTGCTCTCTCCCCATTTTTTTTTTCCTGGAAGGGAAAAAAAACCAATGGGGTGGAAAATCTCAAATAGGCATTTTGCAGGGGAACAGTAAAGTTCCACATCAGAGTAAATGGAAAGGACAAGAAAATGGTGGAAAGGTCTTGTTTGCACAAAGGAGTGAGAGGTTCAGGAGCAAGGAATTTCTACCTATTGAAAAATATCCACCTCTAAACTCCAAAGGAAAGCCTGTAAACTGTTCAGAAGAAGCTGAATCAATAGGTAATTTGATTAGCTTTCCAACCCAATGGCACTAAATGGCAATTGACAGATTCAGATCACAATCTCTTCAGGTGAAGAGATTGATAAGCATAATATATTACACATAAAGTAAGACATACCTGCACACAGTTAGCAACTGGCTGTCCTTATAGTGAAGAAAATTGATAAAATATCCACGCTGATATTTTTCAAATATTCCAAACTGATTCACTGCATTTCAGCTAAGAAATGGTTCCCCAATCTGATGCAGTATCCTTTAAATAGGACTATCTCCTAGTATTCAGTCTTTGACCATACTAGATTCAAAATTGTTTTCCTTTGTACTTAATAAGAGCATATTTTGTATGTTAGAATTGAACAGCCAATACGTCTAAAATAATAATGATTGAAAATTTAGAATTGATAAGATAGCAATAGAAAACAAATGTCATCTCTGCAAAGAAGCTGAAGAAATATCAGGCCACCTAGTTAGCTGCTGCAAGATCTCACAGACTGAATACAAACAATGGCATGACAAATAGCAACAATGGTGCATTGCCTGAAGTAACACTTGCCTGCAGGCAAGAGCTGGTGGGAGCACAAAATGAAGTAATAGAAAATTAAAAGAAAATTAAAAAGCTAAAGTGCTCTGGAGCTTTGCTATTATTTATTGTGGAAACAGAATATGTGGGAATAAATTTTAATTCTTTAAAAAATATCCATTGTGTGAACTTTTGATGAGGATACCAGTATCTGGTATCTCTTGTACATTGCTGAATTCACATATTGCACTAAATCTTAAAGTGGCTTTTTGATATTTGCTTAGCCTGTTGTATGACACCAGCCATTGTAGATTATAAACCACAATTGTCCTGCTTCTCAATCAGATACCTTGAGCTGGTATACCTGAAAGAATTTGTAATCAGGAAGCCACAAAACACTGTACATGAGATACATTCAGTGTACACTTTTTCCTTATAGAAGTTCCTTCCCATTTGTTGCAATGGGAGTGACATCCTAACATAAGAGTCTGATATACCAGTAGTACACATTGTTCCCAGTTTCTGAATGACTTTAATAGAGTGATAGAAGTAAGGTTCCTATAGATCCAAGCCTTCTATTACATCTCATAAAAGCATATATCCTGTTTCTATTAATGGAGCTTCGGGATTGGGTGGCTAAGGCTGCTGTTTGCTGCTAGAGTTAGGTTTCTGTCTGTAAGGTACATTCCTTTCTCACTCTCTGTCTACAGTATTTGCAGTTTGTTGTGATAACAACATGCCCTGACAATCCTTTTCCTCTTGATTACATTAATTCTCATGTATCATCGAAAAGCTGAAAGGTAGAGAACCCTTCTCCCCTCTGATCCCTAGCCACAACCAGAGCTATTTCTCTTCCTACATATTAGTGCCATATTAAGAGTACTGTATTCCGACATGGTGTTATTGCAGATCCTTATTTTGAAAGATAGCAGCCTTATTTGGTCTCACTGCAGTGTTTACAAAATTTGGAAGGTCAGTCTCTATCACTTCTCTCCTGTTCTATGAAGTAAGAATAGCACAGCAGCTGCTTAGCTTGAGTTTTCTTTTCTCCAGGACTTTGTCAGTTGCATAATCATAGGAGAGGCTGCCTCTCTCCTCTTTCAGACTATTTCTGGCCTATTGCTTTCCCCCAGGTTTATTTCCCATTACTGGAAGCAAAATAGAGATTTATTTTATTTTTATTTTATTAATATTTATATGCCGCCCTTCTCCCGAAGGACTCAGGGCAGCTCACAACAATAAAACAACAAAACAATAAATTAATGCTAAAATAATCCAATTAAAACCCCCAACAGTTAAAACTAAAAACTCCCAGCAGATCAGGCGATTCGCTGAAAAAGCCATGTCTTCAGGCCACCGCGGAAAGAGTGGAGGTCGGGGGCCGTCCGGAGCTCAGTGGGTAATTCAATCCAGAGGGTCGGTGCGGCCACAGAGAACGCCTTAATCCTGGGCACCACCAGCCGACATTGTCTGGCCAATGGCACCTGGAGGAGGGCAGCCCTATGTGAACGCACTGGGCGGTGGGAGGCCGGTAGGAGGTGATCCTGCAAGTACCCCAGGCCCATGCCATGTAGGTACAATCAATGGGTACAATCAGTTTTACACTGGAATTAATCAGTGCCAGCTCAAAGGATGGATAGTGCTTTAATTCTCTATGGAGAAAAATCCTTTATGAGGCAGCAAAGATCCAAAATATCCTAAGGCTTCTGAGATGTTCCCTGAAGACCGCAACATTTATAACCTTTTTTTTTTAATCAACTGTGCTCATGAGCTTCAATTCATTAATAAAATAATTCTTAGTGTCTTGCATAAAGTTAAAAAAAGTTTTAGGTCTGTGTTAAAAACCTTTCTACGGTATTGGTTGTGTAAATTGCTTGATTCTTCCACGATTGTCTTGTGGAAACATCATTAGCTCTTCATGAGACATTATCTATATGTTCAGCTGTTTAGGCTTAGATTGAATATTCATCTGTGCTCAAATCAAATTCTGTAAAAAGCAAACTGCAATTCAGGACCAGATAACTAGAGACAAAGGGTCTGACATATTTTGGAAACATATTGTTTAATGAATTGTATATTTGATTCACTTGAGTTTTCATTTTATGAATACCAATATACTTTGAAAACAGTATACACTTAATGTATGTAATTGTTTTCATTAGTTTTCTACAAAAGTGAACATGAAACTTGACCTCAGCTTTTATTTTTCAGGCTGGCTGTACAAATTTCCAAGCCAAACGTTTAGTAATCATAGTGTGAAATTGCAAACCTGTGAAGTTTATGCTCAGTAGCAGTTCATGTTCTAAGTTATTACATTTCATTTATTTCATTTTCCAGGAAGCGTCTCTTATCATTTATTAAATCAGCCCTATGTAATTAAGCAGCTCAAACCCAATGAGATAGTTAACCTTGCTTAAGACTACACAGGGTTGTTGAAGGCATCAAGAGGCCAGGAAGTAGCAGCTAACACCCCCCTCCCACAAAAAATTACACCAGTTAATTAACAGTCCCCATCTGAAGCCCACCAGGCGGGGTTGAATTGAGTCTCTCCCCACCCTCATCAGTTGTAGTGCAGGAGCTCGGGGGAAAAACGAATGGGAAATCATACTAAACTATTGAGCTATATTATGTTATGGCCCCGTAAATCCTCTTCCAAATTAAGGGGATGTGGAACTAGGATTGAAATCGGGGCCCTCGAGCTGCTAACGCTCCTCAATCGGGACGGGTGTCCACGGGGCCCGTTTTTAGATTAGCTGCGCCTCGAGTAGCTCTGCGGATGCAACTTGGATCATTTGAGCCTCGCCGCGTCCTCGCCTTTTGCGTTTCGCGGGCATAGGGAGGGTGCCAGGGTGGCTTAGTGTTTGCATGTATAGCTTTACTCGGAAGTAAATCAAGTGACTCGGACTTAAGGTGTGCAAAGGGCGGCTGCCTTCGTAGCAGTCATAACAGGATCGCGCGCTGGCTCTTCCCCTTGCACACACACACACACACACACACATATACAGACACTCACACTCACACACACACACATATATATACAGACACACACACATACGGACACATACGCGCGCGCACACACAAACACACTCCCCGGAGGAAGGGTGTACAGTCCAGAGGCCCTTTGCTCCTTAACTGCAGCCGCCGCAACAGGCGCTGCCCGGACATTGCCACCGGGCACCCCTTTGGCTGCAAGCCGCCTCTCGTCGTCGCTCTTGCCGGCACCTCACGCCGCTCTTCCCGAAGCCGGCTCTCTTTCCTCTCCTCGGGCGGAGCTCTTCTCGGCGTCAGGTAGGATCCTCCGAGCGCCTCCAGGCCTCCGTCGGGGAGCACAAAATGGCGCCACCGCCGGCCGGAGAACTGGCTTGGGCGCTGTTTTCTGTGAAGGGAGGGGCCGGCCGGGGAAGTAGGCCGGCCCGGGGGCAGCAGGCAGGGCCCAGAGATGCGGCAGCGACTCTCCCGGCTTATTGCTCTCCGGGCCTCCCTGCGGCCGCTTCCTTCAGCGCGCCGGCTTTTCCTGAGACAGCAGCAGCACCTCTTCCTTTGCGGGTACCGCCGCGGGGAGGCCGGGAGTTGGGCCTGGGAGGGAGGCGGGGTGGTGGTGGTGGTCCGCGAGCGTCTTCCCGCCTTGGTTGCGGTTGAGGAAGGAGTTGGTGGTGGATGGGAGAGGGAATCGTGGCCGCCTCTGGGTCTCTCGCGGCTCTCCTTTCGCCCGTTCCCAGGTTGTGTAACCGACCTTCCGGGTGCGAGTGTGATAGTTGCAGCCCTTGCCTGGAAAGGGGGTGAATCAGCGTGAATGCTAATTCTTTGCCGAGGGAGACGGGAAGACATTCCCGTACCTTCCCCACCCGCGGGCCCCGAAATGCTTAAAATGGGAGTTGGGGAGGAGGGACGGCCGTCGGCCTTCTCCCCCTCACCGTCCCCGGAGAAGCGATTCTCTGCGGACAAAATGGGTGGGATGCCAGGCAGGCAAGGTCAGTGGGCGGGTGCGAACCGCGACGCGTGTTTATATGTGGGGGGCCGAAGAAATGGTAAAGGCGATATAAGAGGTGGAGGAGGAGGAGGAGGAGAAGGGAGAAACCCCGGTGATTCCCTTCGGTGTGTTGAAGTCGCTTCTCTGCTTTTTCTGCTGTGCGCCTTGCCGCCCGGAGTCACATTTTGTGGGAGGAAGCGAACGTCATGCTGAACAGGTTTAACTGAGGAGAACTTGGCCAGCAAAGGGATCCGATTTCAATGCTGCTTTCAAAAGTGTTTTCTTCCTTTCTTGCTTTTCATTTTTTGTAGAAAGGTGTCGGTATAGATGTAGATTTCTCTTGCCTCAGAAATCGAGGCTGAGGTAAAAGACCGGAAAGTGTCCGCTTTTTTTGTTGCTGTTGTGCATTTATTTTTCTGTTTTTCAGGCCAGTATAATCGAAGCCGGTGTCTAAAGTGAAACTGGTTTTCCAGATAAGAGTTTTGTTATTCTTTTTCTAATTAGTTATGCTTCTTAGAGTATGTGCAGCAATTTTATACGATTTAGTAAGCTTAATTATTTACCTGCGGAGTGGATAGAAAATATTTCTTCATGGGGTACTTATTTGATATTGGCTCACTTTATTGAAGAGTGAGTTCTATATCTCTCACATATATGCGTAATTTGGACAACTTCATTAAAAAGGAGTAAAACAGTTAAAAACTGTTAATTTAACCTTACATATGTTAAGAATGTTCAGGACATTTTTATTTACCTTTATTAACAGCAGTTGTTCATTTTGAAGAGTATTATTTCTTTGTTTATACTTGTTCTAAATTCAGAAAATTCCAGTGATTGACAGGTTAGAAATGTAAATATGTCATTGCTCCTCTGAAACAAATTTTAAGAAGTAAATCTTGTTAAATTCAGTGGGTTTGCAATCATAAACTTCCAGGGGAGTCCACCTTGAGCACCCTTTGAGTAGAATGTTTGTGGAGTGGCTGCTTAAGTGGGATACTCTTATCCAAAAGCTCTGCTTTCGTTTCATTATTTTTCGGTTTGAAAATATAAGACACCCCAAATCATTATGGAATTGTGCAACCTGCAAATCCAGTGAATAAAAAGTTTTTGTAGATGCTGACAGTTGAATTATTGTATGTTTAAATGCCAGTTTTTGGCCCATTTGATTTCTTATTTGAATACATCTATGGCTGTACATTGGTTAAGTGTAATAAAAGAAGTAAACATTAGGAAGTTTATTTGCTTTTAGTAGAGTGCAGGTGAGGAAGAATAGAAATGGTATCAAACAAAAGTGCCTGGCCTGAGAATGAAGATACTAATGGTAATACTATTAGAATACATGGTATTCTAATATACATAAAGAGGTTGTGTTGAATTTGGTGAATTACAAAGTAACTATTACTTCGGACTGCAAAAATTTTATTTTGTCATGCACCAAAAATATAAAGATTAAAATATTATTTGTAGTAAGTGGAAAATAAGTGCAGATGTGATAATCTGTTAGTGAAATATTTGAATGTGTAATTACCAAGGAGTTGCCAGAAATAATTAGCTTGATCCCACCCACAGTTAAGTATGGATTAATGACATTGGGTTTAATTACACTTAACACTCATGTTGAAAGAAGTAGCAGGGTTGTGATACTTCAATACTTTTGTTGTGCATAACTAATTGCAACTGTAGTCCACCAAATCTTATGCCATTATAAATATTGACAAGGAGGTATATAGAAAAGCTGTGGACTAGATATTTGAGTTAAAATCCTCAGGAGTTCTGGACAGCATTGCTGATACTGAGAAATGCTGAGAGTTGTCTTTAATATTTGGTAGGTCATAAGGTAATCACTCCTGCAAAATGTCACTAGGTTGTCCTTTGTTTTTCAGTGTATGCAGAAGAACTCGGATGCTTCAAATGTCTTTTCTTGGTCAGCCAGTCAGAGTCCTGATAGGTGTTGGAATATTGTGAGCCAACCTAATGGCAAGCATTTGCTCAACTTAATATTTTGATAATATGAAAATGTAGGTGTTGAATTTGGAGATGAAAACATTAGTACTACTTGAAAATGTTTTAACAATACTATACGAAGATTGAAATTAGGGAACTGGTTTTATTCAGCTTAGGTGAACAAATGAACTGAACATGTGGACACCTTGGACTGTCTGAAGGGGTGTCATGCAACAGACGTTTGAAGTTGTTCATTGTTGTTTAGACACTGTCAAAGTATAAGTAGGTTTGGAAAAGAGGTTAGTAGGATTTTTGCTAATGGTTTAGGGACAGAATTGGAAAATCTGATATAATATGTTTGTATTCACACAAAAAATTAATATAGATCACTGACCACTTTCTATTTGGGACAGGTGTGTCTAACCCATGACCCACAGCTGCATGTGGCTGTCAACAGTTGGTAATGCGGCCCCACAAGTTTATAAATTTAATTTTATTCTGTGATTGATATGTATTAACTGTGTTATATATTTTGTATGCAGTCCAAGACAATTTCTCTTCACTTAGTATAGCTCAGACAAGCCAGAAGGTTCGCCACCCCTGATTTACAGCCTACTTTTTGACTAGATGGCCATAATGAAGGCCTAAACATAGTCTTCTCTCACTTTCTTAGTTGTAGACTTTGTTTCCTAAATTATTGATAAATAAAAAAGCAGACTCTGTACTTGCAGGAAAAGCACTAGGAAGAAAAAAATGCTATAAAATAAGTGGTTGAAATCCTACAGAAAAGGCAATTGTAAACAGTATCCCCATTAGAAAGAACATCTGTTTCATCCTCTGACATTGAAATGTTAAATTAATTGGGCTCTATTGCAATTAATGAAACAGAAAAATTATAAATTAAGGAGATGTAGTTGGAATCTAATATTAAACTACAGAAAATGTTGTAAGGAAAGTGTAAAATATTAAGTAAGGAAAGTATAATTAAGAAATGTATTTCAAGAGTAAAATCTGGGTCCATGATATTTTCTTGGAGGGGAAGGAGAGAGATTATTACAGAAAGTATAGAACACAAGGTCATGAAACAACAGAGCAGAAAAACTATGCAGAATTCTTTCCAATTCCTTAATAGCAGCACCCCTTTAAGTTATGTGAGTAAGTTATGTAAGTTTAAGAATGATACAGTGGGTAGTATTCAAAGCTGTTGTTTAATTGTTTCCATAGGGAAGTATTGTTTTTCCCCCCCTGGAATGTTTTTCTTGCAATCCTGAAATGGATCTGTCCCATTTTTTAACTGGAACTTTGTTTTGCCAACTTCTTCTGCCATATCACATCTTTGTGTGTCCAATCATACTTGGCCAATAAAGAATTCAATTGGAGAGTATCCTGCTGATGAACAAAGTTTCAAACCCCTTTGCATAATTGCATTTCAACATTATATGGAGGAAGTGGGAGACAATATCAGTGATACAGGATAGTAGCTTGATAGGATTGCTATTGCCTGTTTTGCTGAAACTATGGGATTTAACACAAGATTAAATTCACTTGTTAAATATTCAACACTTTCAGGCAAAATTAGATTATTTTAATGTGTATCATCAGGATCATGATAATCAGTTATTCATGATGGGTGAAATTTACTTGAATGTATATAAGAATGGAATACGTTTTCACCCTCCAGCTATTCTGAACTAATAGCCAGCAGTAACTGTCAGGATGATTAGTGATGAGTGACATTGGTAGTTGCTGTTCTTCTAACAGTTGATGAATTTTAGTTCCCCATCTCCACCCTTGGGAGACTTCAGTTCAGTTAGAGTATGTTCTGTGATCAGAGCTGAAACAATTAATCATAATGCCTGTGTTCATATAACATTCCTAAGATAAACTACATTATGGTTTTATGTGATTCCTAACTTACACCACACCCTAAGAATATTGTAACTTTTGGGTTAGCCACTATGCTTTATTAACCATTATTAACCATATATGCTCACTCATAAAACAGCAAAAGATACTACTGAATAATTTTGGAATTTCTATTTACCTTGATACACATAGCAATTTTGTGGGAGCGAACCCTGCTACATCCAATAAATTATCCTGCTTTATATTCCCCCATAAAGCCATTGCCAGAGAATTGTGGACTTTGTGAATGACCATCTCTGCATTGTTGCATTATAGATGAAAGCAATGAACACATATTTTCAGAGTGAAGCGTAATGCATTTTTCCTTGTGTACACACTCGTACTGAATCACTTTTTTGTTTTCTTTTGCAGTTGGACTATGTCCCGATTTTCTAACTTACTGCATTTGTATTGTCCTATTTAATTTCTCCTATGTTCTGTGAAAATTGCTTCTTGTATGCCAGTCAAC